AGGGTCCCGGGTTTGATTCTAGTCAAGGACACATGCCCAGTTGAGGGCTCAGTTCCCAGTAGGGGGTGAGCAGGAGGCAGGTGATCAATGATTCTCTCTCATCATTGATGTTTCTCTCTCTCCCTCTCCTTTCCTCTCTGAAATCAATAAAAATATATTTAAACCACCATCAAAGAACCAAAATCACAGTACCCTTCCAGAAATGCAAATGTTGGATATTTGGTTCTCTATTCAGCAGAAGAACACTTGCTCTTGAGTAAAATATATGATGGCTGTCTACATAAGAGGAGGAAATATGAAGCACAGCAGCTGATTGATGAGAATCTGGCACTGACCAACACTGAAACATATAAGAACAAAGTCAAGCCCTGACCAATGTGGCTCATGCCCTCAAACCAAAGGGTCATAATTCGATTCCTGGTCCAAGGCACATACCTGGTTTGCAGGTTCCATCCCTGACTGGGGCTGGGCGAATTCGGGAAGCAACCAATGGATATGTCCCTCTCACATCATGTCTGTCTGTCTCTCTCTCTCTCTCTCTCTCTCTCTCTCCCCCTCTTCCTCCCCCCCTCCCTCTGTTCCACCTCTTTCTAAGAATCAATGGAAAAAATATCCTGGGAGATATTTTTAAATATATTTTTATTGATTTCAGAGAGGAAAGGAGAGGGAGAGAGAGAAACATCAATGATGAGAGAGAATCATTGATCACCTGCCTCCTGCTCACCCCCTACTGGGAACTGAGCCCTCAACTGGGCATGTGTCCTTGACTGGAATCAAACCCGGGACCCTTCAGTCCACAGGCTGATACTCTAGCCCAGCCGTGGGCAAACTACGGCCCACGGGCCGGATCCGGCCCGTTTCAAATGAATAAAACTAAAAAAAAAAAAAAGACCATACCCTTTTATGTAATGATGTTTACTTTGAATTTATATTAGTTCACACAAACACTCCATCCATGCTTTTGTTCCGGTCCTCCGGTCCAGTTTAAGAACCCATTGTGGCCCTCGAGTCAAAAAGTTTGCCCACCCCTGCTCTAGCCACTGAGCCAAACCAGCTAGGGCTATTTTTTTTAAAAACACACCATTCCCCCCCCCCCCCCCCCCAAAAAAATACACCATCCCAAGGCAGCAAGAGGTCTCCGGGTAGGGGCACATGCCTGGGTTTGGGGCTTCATCTCAGTAGGGGACATGCAGAAGGCAGCCACTCAACGTTTCTATCTCTCTTTCCCTCTCCCTTTCTCTCTCTAAAAGCAATAAAAACATTAAAAAAAAAAAAAAAAAGCAACCAACAGTCCTAGCTGGTTTGGCTCAGTGGATAACACATCAGTCTGCAGACTGAAGGGTCCTGGGTTCAATCCCAGCCAAGGGCACATGCCTGGGTTGAGGGCTCGATCCCCAGTAGGGGGCGTGCAGGAGGCGGCCAATCAATGATCATTTTTTCTTCTTCTCTTTCTTCAATGATTCTCTCTTATCATTGATGTTTCTATCTCTCCCTCCCTCACCATTCCTCTCTGAAGTCAAAAAATATATTTTTTAAAAAAACAACCAACAATATAACGCCATAACATTGAATTTCTTTTTTTAAAACAACGATACAATAGAGAATATCTGACCTGGACTGGGGGCAACTTCTTTAGACCATTCTTCCTTTAGGTCAATGAAGGTCTTTCTGGGAAGCAATTAGAGGCTGAATAAGAGGCCAGGTGCTCACCAGTTTGAAGGACAAGCATTAACCAGGCAAATTCAAAGGATCTCAGGAAGAAGTGGGTATTGGGTTCAAGGAAACAAAAGGTGAGTCTAGAATGAAGCTGAGTGACGGGAGATGAGGTCAGAAGTAAGACAAGATGATTCAGGGCCTGAAGAATCCAGGAGAATTCGCCTCTTATTCTGAGTGAGATGGGAGCCAGGGGACAGCTGTTAGCAGGGCAGTTATGAAATCTTTACTTGTTTAGAGCATCACTTTGGCTACTGGGCAGAGAATGGATTCACCACCTACTGTCTGGCACGTTTGCCCCTTGGCCTGATTTTTAGTTTTAACCTGTGTTTGTGCAATGACCCTGCTGCTTGAGGTTGGAAGCCATCCTTCAGAATGTTTTGCTCTTTGCGCTGCGTAGGTCCTCAATAAATGTTTACAGATCAATTATCTGACAATTCTGTTTCTGCAATACTCTTTGGGAGTCTTGCTTCTCAGACCAGCATCAGCATCACCTGGGAGCTTGTAGGAAATGTAGAATCCCAGGCCCCACTCAGATCTACTCAATCAGAAACTGAAATTTAACAAGGTCCCTCAGAAATTCAGATGAATGGTAAAGTTTGAGCACTTCTAGAAAGCAGAATAACTAGAGAGCCAGACAAGCAGGAGTGGCAGGCAGGAGGTGAGCCAGGAGGTGAGCCCAAGCACACAGAGTGGACTTACTTGAGGAGTCTCCCTAAAAAGTAGCAATCACCCTGAGTCACTGAGTTGAGAGGACACAGGACAGGTAATAAAGCTAACTCTTATTAGGTGTTTTTTTATGGTTTCTCAATCTTTTACATGCATTAGCTAATTTAGTCTTCACCACAGCCCTAAAAAGCGGTACTATTACAGTCACCGTGCCCAAATTGCAGATGAAGAAACTGAGGCCCAGTGAGGTTGGGGTTATTCCAGAATATTCCATAGCTACACAAGCATTTGCCCCCCCCCCCCCTTCCTGGTGTTTGCGGTAAGGTCTGTTCTGATTGGTCGCTGCCAGTCCTCTGGTTATTCAGTATTTTGAATGTTGCCCTGGTTACGAAGCTGGATGGAGGAAGCAGGCTCCAAACTGTGCTGGAGCCATGCTGTAAACCACGGTCTCTATCCATCTAGCGACATCACCACCCAGAAACAGTACGCCTCAGGGACAAGCACTGTGTCAACGTGCTTGTAAGCTATAAAGCACAGTGTAAATGCCAAGTGCGTGGATTCCTCCGGGGGCAGAATTGAGAGAAACCTTTTAAAGCTGGAGAAGCTGGGTTGTGAGAGGAGAGGCTGCTGTGGGGAAGCAGCCTGCTCTCTGCTTGTTCGAGGGGGTAACTGAGTCAGAGGAAAGGTCTCCCTGAGTGGAGCACCAGGACCAGCCCCTGGATCAGCGGTTCTCAACCTGTGGGTCGGGACCCCTTTGGTGGTTGAAGGACCCTATCCACAGGGGTCGCCTAAGACCATCCTGCATATCAGATATTTACATTACGATTCATAGCAGTAGCAACATTACAGTTATGAAGTAGCAACGAAAATAATTTTATGGTTGGATCACAACATGAGGAACTGTATTTAAAGGGCCAGAAAGTTGAGAACCACTGCGGAGGTTCCAACTTGTCAGACGCCATTAGGCACTAACCAGGTTAGCCCATACGTGTCTTCCTCAATTGACCCGGGCCTCCTGATATCCACAAGGGGGCGCTGCTCCCCAGCTTTCATCCCACTGGACCCCACCTGCTCACAGGAGACGGACTTGGAAGGAGCCCTAGTGACCAGGGACTTTGAGAAGGTGGGATAGAAGGGGGACTTATATCCATTTTCAATTCCCAAAATACCCCTGCGGAGGAGGAGCTCTTATATCCATTTTACAGATGAGGAACTTGAGGCCCAAGGTTCCCCCAAACCAGGAAGCTAAGGGAGGCAGGGCCAGGTCATGTGATTACAACCTCAGTTCCCCAAGGGACCACAAGCTGATGTCAGTTCATTTGACCCTGTCGTCTCACTGGTGTCCCTACTATGTTGATCCTGTATTCTAAGTGGTGGCCAGAACCTCAACCACAACTGTGTTCTCACAGCTCCAACAGCCAGGCCCCATAAAGGTGGTGACTTCTTGAACTTGAACCTTTTTGAAGTCATGGTTTCCTGCTTCATTGCCCTCTGGCCTTCAGGAACCCCTACCTGCCACCCCAACTCAGAGAGCCTGGGGTCTCCTCTGCTCCCAGAGGCTGGCTCTAGGCCCCCAAACTCTGTCCTATTCTACATCCCTTCCCCACCCCAGGGGCCCCACTGGTTCAGGCTTTGCCTCCCCTGACACCCAACAGCAGGCAGCAGCACAAATAAACAAAGGGATATTTGAACCAGGAAGAGCCTGTGGCTGAGTTCAAACCAGGCACCGGAGGTTTTTTCTCATCTCCCACCAACTCCTTTTATGGTCTCTGGGTCCGGTTCTTTCCTCCTAAATCAGAACTGGAAAGGCCTCAGGAGTCACTGGGTCCATTGCACCAAGACGTTCCCTTTCTACAGAATAAAACACAGCGTGCTGCTTTCGCATCTCCAGGCAGGTTCACGAGACTAGGACGGGGCGGGCAGCGTCTTGCAGGGGACGTTAACTCCAGCCCTGGGGCGGGACCCGGGCACAGCGGCTTTAGGAGGCCCAATCCCCATCCCTGTAAAAATGGGGTCCAGGGTGAAGGACCCTAACTGCGACTTCTTCTAAGGCCCCGCCGCAGCTTCTGAGGTTCCGAGGGAGGCCCTAGCGAGTATCTATTTCGGCCCCACTCGGTGGGACCCTTTCCTTCTCTCTGCCCTGGGAGCTGCGGGAGGCTCGCGTGTCTGGGAGCACGTGCGTGTGAGCAATCATGTGTGTGCAGGAGAGTGTGCGCCGCGGAACACACGTCCGCGCCATTGCTTGGGTCTGTGCGCGCCCCCTACTGGCCGGTCACCACCGGCTGCCGCTACGGCCAAGTGGCCGTGTGCAGCGCCGCGTGTGTCCCGTGTGTGGCCACCCTCCCCTCATGGGCCGGCGTACAGCGTGTGCACGGCGGGCAGGCTGGCCCACAGCATCCGGAGCCTGGGGCCCTGGCTCTCGGTCCCCAGCCCAGCCCTCCCGCCGGCATATTCCGTTTTCCCGAGCCTCCCGCTCCGCCCCCGAGGAGCGCTCTGGGGCAGGGGCCGAGAGCGGCCCCGCCCGGGCGGTTGGTGAGGGCGGCCGGGCTGCTGGGCGCCCGCCGCCCCTCCCCTGCCGCCCCCGCCCCGGCGCCCTGATGGGTTTTTCCATGACTGCATCCGGCCGCGGGCCGCCTTTGTTCCCTTGGTCCCCGGCAGCGGCCCGCCTCCCCCGCCGCGCGCCGGGGTTTTTCCAGGGCTCAACTGGAGCATGGCGGTGCCGCCTCCCTCACTTCCCGACTCAGACCCCGGCCTCCTGCGCCCGGGCTCGGGCGGCGACCCCGGCAAGACCCCGAGATCACCTGCGGGGAGCTGTGCCCTCTCCAGATGCCCTGCTCGCTCCGTCCCTCCGGGTCCCTAAGCCCCACGTGTGCGCGCAAAGCTGACAGTCTCCTGGCCCGCACGCCTCCGCGCTTGGCGCCCCGAGCCCCTCCAGGGCTGCAAGTTGGGGGACGGGGATCAGGCGGGTGCGGAGCCGGGCCGCCAATGCCTCCAGGTTGTGGAAGGGCCTCACGTTTTCCCCAAGGGGTTGGGGTGCAGTCCGGGCGGTATGTTTGGTGGTCCCCAAACATACCTGGAGGGGAACCCACGAGCGCGCGCACACGGCCCGGCAAGCGGGGAGATCACCCCCAGCCCACCGCGCGCTCGCCGCGCCCGCCCCCACGGGAAAATGGGCACACTCGAGGGCAGTAAGCCCCGGAGCACCGAGAACCCCCTCCCAGCCATCAGGAAGAAAAGGGAGATAGGCAGGCAGAAAAGGGGCGATGGGGAGATGCAAGGGGCGCTGGAATGTCCCAGGGAGTGAGGGCAGGAATGGGGACTGTGTGACCGCGGCAAGCTGGGTCCTGTCGGCGCAGAGGTGCGTTCAGTTTGTGGGTGTCTCGGCCACCGGGGAAGCCTCCCAGCTATTACCCAGCCATGTTGGCGGGAAAAGTGTAAGAAACGCTGTGTTTGCTTCTGAGTGAGGCTTGCTAAGCCCTTCCAGAGAAGCCAGACAGGCAGGGTGGCCTTCAGCTGAGGTACAGGGGTGAAGGGAAGAATGTGCAGAGGAAGGGGTCCTGGGTTAAGAGGACGTCTGGTTCTGTGGGGTTTTGGAATCTCTTGGGGCTCTCCTCAGACAGAGGAGATAGAAGGTGCGTGTGGGAGGAAAATGCAGAGTAAGGGACACCCAGATCCAGGGAGGCTCAGCGCTGTCTCCCTGCCAGCATCTAACCCCCTCCCTGGTGCATTCTCTTGTTTCCTCAGCAGTAATGGGGGAGCCTGACTTCTCTGAAAGGGCCTCTCCTCCAGTTGCATCTTTGTCAGCTCTATCTGCTTCCTCCCAGTGTTAAGGCCCCCTCCCTCCCAGCCATCGGAGCATGAGGAAGCCTTGGTTCCACACAGCTGGGCTTCTTGCTCACAGGCTAACGCAGATGCCCTTTGCCCTTGTGAAGTTGGTGGAAAGTTGCAGAAGCTGAAACGGAGCCGGTGGCTGGGCACCAGCCCCTGGAATAGAGGAACTTTCACTGAGGTGAGGCTAGCTTTAAGCAAAACGCAATTCAGCTTCCCAGATGATGGCGTTCTGGCTTAGTTTTTGTCCTCGTACCCTGCACAGGGATGCAAGTCATGTTTAAGATCTCAGCACGAGATCTTAGTCCGTACACGAGGTTCAAATGGTAACCCACACAGGTTCTACTTGTCCTCCCTGGCCAGGGACAGCAGTGGGGACAGTAGTTAGAATCTGCTGGCACTAGCATCCTGCTTGCTGTTCCTTTGTTCAAGGTTGTCTTGTCCACCACTTACCCTTCATTCTCCCTGTTCTTGCTCAGGCTAAGAATAGTAAACCCAGGCCTTAACTCTTATCCCTCAGTTTTCTCACCTAACTGAGGTGAGAATAATGGTAGGGATACTAATGGTGCCTACCTCCCAGGGTGGTTATATGAGTTATATGAATTTATATGAATTTAATATACGTAAAGAGCCTACACATAGCAAGTAGCAAAGCATTTGCTATCATTATGGGAAGTTAGGTAATTTGTCCAAAGTCACGTAGTAAGTGAAGTTTGATGTCAGCCCAGGCCACCCGGCTCTGTCGTCCATGCACTTATCCTGTGCTAGTGAAATTTTGCGATAGCAGAATTGGGAAATGGTATTCATGTACATAGCTCATCTGTGAAGTGGAGGAAACAGTAGCTGCTAGGGGCTAGGAGACATTTTTCTAGGAAAGAGCCCATTCATAATGGTGATGTCTGAACTTGTTCTCACTTTGTGACTGTTATAACTGTTTTATGGGTTTTTTTAAATTGCACATATCAATTGAGAAATTTATGGCAATCAGATAATCACCCTGATGGTAGAAAACTCCAGGTCCTTCCAGCAGTGATATGAATCCTAAAACATTTCTTTGTTCCATATTTATAACCTGCACACCCATGCCCAGCACTGTAGTAGATAGAGGCGGGGGTGGTGAGCATTCTTAGCAGGGAGACAGTTCACTTTCTTCCTCAGCAGAGAATATGTGTGTCTATGGAAGTGATACCTTCAGTTGCCAAAAGGAGTAGTTCACTTAACGGTTAATATCTGACAAGGACTTGTGGCAACAGACTCTGAGGTGGTCCATGATCCTTCCTTCTGGTCTTCATGCCCTGTGTAACCCCCACCCCCGAGTGTGGGTGAGATCTGTGTAGGTGGGGCTTATTATAGGGCAAAGGTGGTGGGATGGATGTGATTATGTGTATATGATAATGTTACATAAAATTGGAACCACCTTCTTTACAGAGCAAGCTGTGACGTTGGGGCTGCCTACAGAGGGAACAAGAAATTGAGGCCTCTCCCTGATGCCCCCAAGAAACTGAATTCTGCCAACCACCTCATGAGCTTGCAAGCAGATTCCTCCCCAGTCAAGCCTCAGATGAGACCTCAGCCCTAGCCAATACCTTGATGGCAGCCCTGCAGAAGTCCCAGTCCAGGATGTCCAGACTTCTGTGAGAAACTGTGATATAATAAATGTGTACTGCTTTAAGCTGCGACTTTTTTTTTTTTTTAATTGATTTCAGAGAGGAAGGGAGAGGGAGAAATAGAAACATCAATGATGAGAGAGAATCATTGATCGGCTTCCTCCAGCACACCCTCCACTGGGGATCAAGCCTACAACCCAGGCATGTGCCCTTGACCAAAATAGAACCAGGGACTCTTCAGTCTGCAGGCTGACACTCTATCCACTGAGCCAAACTGGCTAGGGCAGTGGTCGGCAAACTGCGGCTCGTGAGCCACATGCGGCTCTTTGGCCCCTTGAGTGTGGCTCTTCCATAAAATACCACGTGCAGGCGCGCATGTACAGTGCGATTGAAACTTTGTGGCCCATGCGCAGAAGTCGGTATTTTGTGTAAGAGCCACACTCAAGGGGCCAAAGAGCTGCATGTGGCTCGTGAGCCGCAGTTTGCCGACCACTGGGCTAGGGCTAAGTGGCAACTTTTGTCATTATATTGTTTTATAGCAACACAGAACTAATATAAGATCTAGTAGGTGAAAAGTCCTACATAGGACTGTTAAGGGATACAAAAAAGTATAAGGAACCCAGTACTTGAGGAGTTTCCCAGCAGTCAAGGTGAGAAAGGAAACAGCATGGTTTTACTACTGGACAAAAAAGGAAAATAATCTTCTAAAAAGGCAATTTAGCTCCAATTCTAAGAAGAGTTTGTCATTTGGATGGTAGAATCTATGAACAGAGCCTAGTATCTGTAACCTTGAGTTCAAGATCCTTCTTCATCCTGCCTTGCTTTCTGCCTGACCTCTCGCCACATCATGCCTGCCTGTTTGCTGCCCTCCTGGACTGCTTTGTTGACTCCTATGTTTCAAAGACCAGCTTCGTGCTCCTCTTCTGCAAAGCTTTCTTTAGTTCCCTAACAGAGCTAACCACTTCCTCCTGATCTCCCAAATCTTTGTTATATATTATTCATTTTCAAATTTTTATTGTGCACCAAGTTCTAGGCCTCCTGTTAGGTGCAAACGATACTGTCACAAATACAGCACAGGGCTGTCCTTGAGGTGTACAGCTTGCGGGTGGCACCGTAGTCATAGGCCTATCTTCTCCTCATAGGGCCAGGCCCTGTCTGCATCCTTGGCACTCGGCACCACACACACAGCAGCCACAGTCTCAATATTGGTTAAGTGAATGACTGATTATCTCATGATGGGATGCTGGCTTCCTGACAGGCTTTTGGGAATGAGTTTGCTGTAAAATATGTCCCAAGTAGCTGAATTTGTTGGATATTATGATTTAGTGATGTCATGGGAACTCACAATTGAACATGTAAATGTCAGCAGAAACTAACTTAGTTTACCTGTAATTGATATGGGGTTGGGGGGGCAGGAGGGAGGAGGGAGCGAGTGCTAACCATAATTGATCAATAGGTTCAACAGCATTTTCAGGGTGTTGCTGGTGTATCATAATCCAGCTGCAGTAATATGAAAGGAGATAGGGAACAGCCTGTGCCAGTGATAGGAGATTTGTGCATCTAATTTATCTTAAAAAAATGAAGGACTCTAGCAGCAAATTAAAAGAAGGGGGCCAAGTCGTGGACCTATTAGTTCTGGTTGCTTGGAAGTGAAAGGGCGAGTCGTCGCGGGGCCTGACCACGCTGCTGGCGGCCTCGGGCACCGACTCCCCAGCCCACGGCGGGAGCCCGGCGCAGGCTGCCACCCGCCTGCCGCCCCCGGACCGGACCCATGAGGCAGCAGCGGCGGCGGGGCGGGGCGGGGCGCGTGCCCTCGCCCGAGGAGATGGAGGAGGAGGCGATTGCCGGCGCCCCCGGGAACGAGATGGAGGATGTGGACTTCCTGTCTGGGCTGGAACTGGTTGATCTGCTGGACCCCCAGTAACCGGACTGGCCCCTGGAGCCCGGGCTCAGCTCGCCCTGGGGGGGGCTAGGACTGCGCCCTCCATCTTTCCCTGGGTCCTCCATTTTTGGGGCGGCCGCCATGTGCTCAGGAGAGTGCCTTCTTCCCGGAAACCCAGGCCCCTGCTGGCCACGCCCAGGATTTCTTTAAACTAACCAATGACAGTCAAGGGACGTGCGCGCCAGAGAGATGACCACATCCTGTGTAACAAGACCCGACTCGCGCCTGGCCAATCGGCGGGGCCCACAGTCCCCTCCCCTGCCCTTACTATAAAACCCACAATCCCATCAGGCCTCGCTCTCTTTGGGCCACTGGGCTTACCGTTGTTGTATCGGTGAGTGTGGTCGGGGAGCCGAACTAGTTCGAAATGAAGGACTCTTTGCTTTTGCATCGGACTGACGGGCTCCCTGGGGGTCCTGGGAACCTTGAAATCTGGGCACAACAGAAGCAGCCCTAGGTGTTTATAAAATGGGGTTTTTGACTCCCTTGTAACCAGTGGCAGCCCTATTTGACAAGTCTGCAAAGGGTGCTTCCTGAGCCGTCGGGTGGAGTTTGGAAATGTCGGAGGGTCCTGGAGAGCACAGACTGTGGCATTGGGCTGCTGCTCCTCTTGGCAGCAGCCCACTCCATCCTCCCACTGTCCCCTCCCTTTCCTGGCCAATGCTCCCGTGTTCAGTTTCCTGGAGAGTCTCTTTCCCAAGCATCCTGGCCTGCAGGGAGGAATGAGGTGCTGCCTCGAGGTCCCCCAGAAGTAGGGTCCTGCCAACCTATTCTGGGGCCACTCTCCAGCTCCCGCATCTCACTGCATCTCAGATGTATTTTCTTGGATGTAGCCCATCTCTGCACCTGGGGCCTCCATTATCTCTGCTCAGAATTTTCAAGCCTCTCCAAAATTCTCCGATGGGAACCCCTGCCCCATCCCCAGACACTGACCAGGGCCTCTAGGGGTCATTTCTGCAGTATGGCGAGGTTTCTGGAATCCGCCTGGAGTTCTGCTTTGCTCCCTGGAACTTGTTTACTGTGGACTGCAGACTCTCCCCTGGGAGTTGTGGGGAGCCTTTTCCCCAGTGCTGAGGAACCTGTCTCTACTTGTTTCCTCACTGCCCCAGTTTGCCCTCCACCCTCTTAGGCAGAGCTAAAGTCCCCTTTTAATTTAAGCTGCAGGGAAATGGTCTCAGGAATGGCCTAAAGAGCTGCCCCCCAGCCCCATAATCGAAAATATCCTCCTGTGACCCCTGCCTCTTGTATCAGGTCTCTGCCTCCCCCTACCCTCCCTAGAGATGCACTATTTTTGGTGTCCTATCTTCATACCCATTTTTCTGTTTGATTCTTGGGGTTTGGTGACCCTAATTTTGGCCTGAGGTCTTGGCTGGGGGCCTGGCATTACTTTGGCACTCCTTTCAGACCTGGCACAAAGTTCTAGAAGGACCGCCTGCTACTGTACTCCCTACTCCTCAGGGCCCTGCCCCTGCCCAGTCCCCAACTCCTGTCCCAGGATATCACTCCACTGGGGCAACTGCTATTAATCCTCTCCAGGCTCTGATCTCTTCCTCAACAGGCAGTTTCCTGCCTATGGTGTGGGGTTAATAAACACTTCGGGAAGTCTTTGTTCATAAAAAAGAAAGTTTTCTTTTTTTTTTTAAATAGTTGAGCCCTGGCTGGTGTGGCTCAGTTGGGTGTTGTCCCATGTACCGAAAGGTTGCCAGTTCCATTCCAGGTCAGGGCACATGCCAGGGTTGTGGGCTTTATCCCTCGTAGGGGGCAAGCAGGAGGCAGCCAATCGATGTTTCTCTCTCTCCCTCTCCCTTCTCTCTCAAAAAATCAATAAGCCCTAACCGGTTTGGCTTAGTGGATAGAGCGTCGGCCTGCGGACTCAAAGGTCCCAGGTTCGATTCTGGTCAAGGGCATGTACCTTGGTTGCGGGCACGTCCCCAGTGGGGAGTATGCAGGAGGCAGCTGATCGATGTTTCTCTCTTATCGATGTTTCTAACTCTCTATCCCTCTCCCTTCCTCTCTGTAAAAAATCAATAAAATATATTTTTAAAAAATTAATAAAAAATCTTTTAAAAACTAGTGATGAACATGATAAAAAATTCAAAAACAAAAATATGTTCTTCAATACCCTTGCTTTCTAGTTTCACTCTGCAAAGGTAACTGTTTTTGGTTTCTTGTTTCCTCCAGATATTTTCTTTTTCAAATATACTTTTATTATTTTTTCCCTTTATTGATTTTAGAGAGAGAGGAAGGGAGAAAGATAGAGAGAAACATCGCTGAGAAACATCGTCAGCTGCCTCCTGCAGGCCCCCGACTGGGGATCGAGCCCACAACCTGTGCATGTGCCCTGACCTGGAATTGAACCAGTGACCTATTGGTACCTGGGTCGACACTGAGCCACACCGGCCAGGCTCCAGATATGTTCTAAACCCTCCCTCCACCCCCGACCCTCCAACAAAAAGCCCTGATTCATTTGCCAATTTTCCTGGTGTAAGTATTCCCATCATAGCTGGTTTCAAGCTACCAACATGACGTCAGTGAATGTGGAGCTGAGGAGGAATGTGCACAAATAGCTAGGGATGAGAGCCAGCTCCAGCTCACCATGGTAAAATTATGTGTATGTCATTAAGCACACAGCCAGACACACGAACGGAATCATAGGACACCTACACCTTGCTTCTGACATTAACTAACTTGTTGGTAAGATGAAGCCAAGTATAGCAACCACAGCAGAATGGATGTATCAACCCATCTGCTCCTCATGTAAGATTATCGATTGGAAGGATCTGTGCTACAGTCACTGAGAAGTGTGTGGCAGAAAACTATGAAGGGTCATCAGTTAAACGATGGGGTAAAGTGACTTTAAGATGCTAATTAGTGAGATGACATTTTTGAGAAATAAAAACCTTGGTTTGAGTAAATCTTGAAGAAACAATATCAATTTCTAATGCAGTAATTAAGAGTTAAGAGAACCCTTAATTCAAGACAAGATTTAAACTGTTTTGCCAGGGATGGAGGGGAGTGACTCTTCACCTAGTTCTTTTTAAAACTTCAGTGGTTGATCAAATTTCCCAGCTAGAGAGAATTCAGGAATCTACAAAACCTGGAGAAAAGGGTCTGGTGAGAGACTTCACAG